CTTTTTCTCCACAGCACTTATCACCTTCTGCATGCCTGCTCAATCGCTCAGCAGGGTCCAACTCGATAGTGTCCCCATGGATTGTAGCCCATCAGGCTCCTCTGTCCATGGGATTTTTCCCAGAAAGAATACTGGAATGGGTTGCTATTTCCTACTCCAGGGAAATTTCCCAACCCAGGGGTGGAAGCCTCGTCTCCTGCATTGGCAGGCAGATTCTTTACCACCGTGCCACCTGGGACCCCCAATCATCTTCTAGTACTCTGGGTAATTTCCACATTTCTTTCATTGCCTTTCTCCTCACTAAAAACACAAGTTCCATGAAGCAAAAGGATTTTGTGTTTCTTATTGGCACATAGTCAGCACTCAATAAATATTTGATGAATGAATAAATGGATACATTCCTCAGCTTTGCTCTTCATATTCACTTCCTGAATTCAAGATTCATCCATTTTTAAGGCTTGTTCTGATGCTATTTTTCTAAAGACAGACTGGACTGATCTTTTTTCATACCACGTGGGCTGGAAAAGGCCACCAGGTTTTAGATAGCGACAAGGTCATCCAATCTCCTAAGAAACAGGTCTGCTACAAACACAAGCACCTTGAAGGCTGGTGGGTACGTCTTTCATACTTGACCGGTGAGCGGTTTCCAAGGAGTTTAATTTAGTCAAACAGGCTCCAAAAGACACAAACAGTCCAAGCAGCAGACATCCCAAGTGGAGGCTAATCTGATTGTCCTTGGTGCCAGTACATTCAAATCTGTCATGTGTGGCCAGCCTGCAGTCATGTGGCACCGGAGGGGCAGCTGTATCAACAGGCCCCACGCAGGCCCACACACGACGGGGCCGGAGATTGAGTTTCAAATAAGGAAGAAGGAAAAAATGCGTAGGGGAAGGAGAAGGAAAGCCCCTTGTACAGAAAGGAGTTGTGAGCAGGCCTGTGTAGAAAGGCAGATCCTGCAGTCAGGACTGTGTTCTTAGAAAGCTGCACGCCCCTGCTGTTGTGCAATCACCACTGCTGATTATTTGTTCGTTAGCTGGGCGTGCTCGGAGGCCCTTCCAGCAGGTGGTAGAACCTGACACTTTGACCAGGACAGCTCCACCCGGACACAGGTTGCCGCAGCGTCCTTGGGAACAATGTCTGTTTTGTTGTAATGATCAAAAACCCACATAATAAAAAAGCCATTTTCTGAGTTTGTGGCATTGTGTGTCCTTCTGGGTGACAGGCGTCCCCCGGGAGGAACACAGTACATCTGGTTCAGGCCCGTGCTCCCCGTTAACCAGTTGTGGGGGTCACTTTACATCTCTTAGGGCTGCAGTTCCTCACCTGAAAAATGAGCTTTTTAGCTCCCCTGTCGCCTGTAACCTCTCTGGAGTTGCTGGAGACACATAGCGGAGAACCACACACAGGCTGTATGTAGGTGAAGTGGGTAACACAGAACCTGGCCCAGAGCAAGGGGTGTGATACTCAGGATAGTGATCCGGCACTGGGGTCAGTGGCCCGGCAAATCCCTCCCACTGGACCTGCCAGCCTTCCTCCCCGAGGCAGCCCTGTCTCACCCACCTAGCACTTGGGGCGCAGAGCCCAGGTGGCCACCCTTCCCTATTTGCCTCCCTCTGGCCCCTTCTTTGAGTCTCCCTCTCACTTCTGTAATCAGCTAAACCAACTCATTCTTCACTGCAGGGGAAAACGGCTGGGGACAACTTGCTGTATTGGGTATGCAAGGTGCTTACTCTTTCAAAAGGTTAAGGCAATGGGTGTGAACTCCAGACTGGGTTTCAGAAGTGGACAGGACCCCAGAGAGGAGAGGCAGGGATGGGGAAGGGCTCAGGGCACTGCCCTGTTTGAGCCTGACTCACCTTTCACGGCGCCCTAACCTCTGGTGTGGAAACTGGCACAGTTAATTCCGTGTCACGTGTTAGACGGGGCAGGTTACAAATAGCACCGGGATTAGCAAACCCATCCCGAAACCGCCTGGTTCAAGGGCAAAGTTACCAGTTTAACTCCGGCAAACCACAAGCACCTGAGAACCGGGAAGGGAGTTCGATGGCAAAGAGGGACTGTGACCATACGTGAGTCTCGGAGCTAGGACGGAAGGACCCTTGTCTCACACGCTAATGGAGCGAGCGCACGTTTCTGTGACCTGGTGTCTTTATAACCTGTTCGTCCGGGCGCTCGCGGCAAGAGGCTAGCTCCACGGACCCCGGCCAAGATCTCCGGAGCGGCAGGAGGGCCACAGGCCACTGGGTGGACCGTCGCAGAGGGCGCAGCGGCGGGAACCCCGCGACCCCTGCCTAGGCGGCGGTCAAGCCCAAGAGAGGGGCAGGGGCTGCCTTTTTCCCCCACTCCCAGCCCAAATTCTGGGCTCTCGGCCCGGAAGGGAACCGGCTCCCACACGCCGCCTGGATCTCGACCGTCGCCTTGTGACTTGGGACAGCCAGGAGAACCCCAACTTGCCGCCCCCTGCCCGAGGGCCACAGGCCAAGGAGGTGGCGGCGGCGGGGCACTTTTCCCCGATTCCTTGCGCACACGGGTACGGACGCGGAAGCCGCCCGGGCCCCGAGGCTGCCCCTCACTCTCCACCCCGGAGCCGGCGCGCCTGTGGCCCGCAAGGGCAGCACCCGGCGGCGGCCAGCTCCGGCCAGTCCGCCCGGCCCTGCCGCGCCCCGCGCCCCGCGCCTCCCCGCACCGCCTCCTCTGTAAACACCGCGCGGCCCGCCCGCGGGCGGGGGCGGGCGCCGCGCTCGGCCGCGTGCCCACAGCCCGTGCTGTCCGCCGATTGCCAGCGCCGTCAGCGCGCTCGCAGGACCGAGCCTCAGGTAAGCGCCCCGGGCCCCGCGCTCCTCCGCACCCTGGGGAGCGCGCTCTGCGGCCGTGGGGCAAGCGCTGTTTAGCGTTCAGGAGGGGTGCGGGAAGCAGCGCCGCGCGGAGCAGCCGCGCTAAACCTGCTCTCGCGGGAGCTCTGGCTCTCGACACCCGCAAAGCTCTTTCCCAGGGAGGGCTTTGCCTCTTTGCGTCAGCCCCCAAACACAGCGCTTTGGTCGTGGTGACCTGCTGCTCATTTGGAAATGGCCTTTGGCAAACAGCATTGTGAGGCGGATTTGGCTTTGGGGAAATGAAGTGTAGGCTGGTATTTGGGAAAGGTTTACTTTCCTATTACTGCAGATATCTGTGCCACTTTGTGAGTGCATTCGTGGTCGGGGGCTGGGGGGCGGAGAGATGGATGAACATACTAATTTGAATGGGGAATTAACTACCCATGCCAAGTACTTAGTCCATTAGTCCGTGGAAGGGAAGCTACACATCCAAATTTAGGCTTTACTAGTATTTGGGGATTTGCCTTAAGGCAATTGAAGCCTTGTGACTCACATCAGAGTCAAAACACTACCCTACAATGAACTGATAGGGCTTTGTAGCACAGAGTCACCCTTCACCTCTATCTCCAGACCAGCAAAAGATATTACAGGATTCAGAGTCTCTTCTTTTTTTTTAATTAGTACAATACTTTAAGTGTTTGTTTCAGCTTAATTTCATCTTCATAAATATAGTTGGTCCAAGTTTAAAGCACAAGCTTGTTTCCCACTTCTATTTCCTTCTCTCTCCAACTTCCTTCTGATTTTATCTTACTTATTCCTGGAAAAGTACTTCCTAGAATAAGATCAGCTGTTTCCTTTCTTTACTGAAAATGACGCTACTTGCACATGATTTGTGTTTGTCAAGATAGCCTTGGCTTTAGCGACTCAATTTCTAGCTCTTTCATGGGATCATGGATGCAAGTGGCATAAAATATTTTTCAAGTTTTCTTTCTTTGAGTAAGTGAATATGTTCTTCACCCTGGGGTTGTCTTTTTGAGTGCCCTGACTAGAAGAGTCCTGGAAAAATATTCCATTCATTAGCGTAAGACAAGGTAACTGGCTGATAAAGTCAATCTGTATAAAGTAGACAGCTCTTTACCCACTGCTTGGGGGTACATTTAATATAGGAGACCCTTGAAGTACAGGGCTTGGGTGGTCTGGTGGAAGGTGCTTTTCCACTTGATTTCATGTATACTCTTTCAAAGTTCTGTCGCTGTTTAGTGTTTTGTAACTGGTGATTTTTATCAGCTGCATATTTTTAATGTGGCCGAAACTTTTTGTGGAAGTGGGTGGCACCACGAAGGAAGGCAAGCAGGAGGCCGCCTGCCTACCTGGGGGACAAGGGGCTACGTGGGCCGCTGTGCTAGAACCCCCCAAGTCATCCGAGACCCAGTAACCAGAGCACCAGATTTCAGGGCGGCCCCAGTGCGTGCCTGTTTGAGGTCTCAAGAGTCACATTTTGACAGAATTAACTTAAAAGCTCCCAAACTCACTGTGTTCCTGAACCGCCTTCACCTTCAGCTGAAACTGTTGAACTTGGGTCTTCTGTAGATGGAGCCTTAGAATAAAGCCAGGAATGGAAAGTTGCTGCAGTCTAAAACAGGAAATGGAAAGTTAGTTACTGAAGGAGAAAATTTACCCACTTGGAAATGCTCAGAGCAGCTGTGATGAAATGTGGGATGTCAATAAATGAAAACAATCCATATGGTTCCTTCACTTACCATTGTGTGTGTGTGTGTGTGGTTTTTTTTTTTTTCCTGGGGAAGTGAGTCCATAAGACTCATAACAGGAAAAGCCACACCCAGTTACTTTTGTTGTATGGGTTTGAGTTTTCAAGATACTTACTCTTAGGTGAGTGGTAAATACATTTCCCCTTCTTACATATCTTTATAAAATTACATATTCAGGAGTTTCTGAATGCCAGTTCCTCTGACTCAGGAGCCAACTCATTGTTCTACAGTGTATCAGTTGCACAAAGTTGTTCCTTATGATTTCATCCTAGTGTGATTTTGGAAAAAGAACAGGGCGGGTCAGGAACACCTGTGCCCGTTTTATAATTTGGTGTTTGGTGATGTCTGCAGAGCTGCTAAAACCATCGAAGGGAACACACACATCCCACCCACCTCGGGCAAGAGGTTTCTCCTGGCCATGTCTCCTGCCGCTGCTGCCGAGCCAGATGGGGTCCAGGAAGACAGGCATGTCAGCAAGCTCATTTTCTTCCTTTTCGTCATCGGTGCCATCCTGCTGTGCGTGGGAGTCCTGCTCTCTATCTTTGGGTTCCAGGCGTGCCAATATGAAACCTTCCCAGACTGCAGCGTGGTGCTGAAGATCGCCGGACCGGCGTGTGCCGTGGTTGGGCTGGGGGCTGTGATCCTGGCCCGCTCCAGGGCACGACTTCAGCAAACTGAGGCACACCTGCGAGGCAACAACCAGGGGGACTCCGACCGACCCTTCCTCTGTGGGGAGAGCCGCCAGTTTGTCCAGTGCCTCATCTTTGGGTTTCTGTTCCTGACGAGCGGCATGCTCATCAGCGTACTGGGCATTTGGGTCCCTGGGTGTGGCTCAGACTGGATGCAGGAACCGCTGAACAAGACAGACACGGCTGACTCGGAGCCCCAGATCTGTGGCCTCCTGTCCCTGCAGGTCCTGGGGCCCTTGATTGTGCTTGTGGGGTTGTCTTTCTTCGTGGTTGCCCACGTTAAGAAGAGAAACAATTTGAATGGGGCCCAGGATGCTTCTGAAAGTGAAGAGAGACAAACCCAGAGCCTGGAGCCTGTCCAGGTGACTGTAGGTGGGTCGCTGTCTTTCCTTTGCTTGTTCATATCACCGTGGCTGCAGCATCAAGGCTGCTCTTGGGTCTGGCCTAAATCCTCTCTCTTCGCCTCTGTCCTCTCTGTCTGTCCTTCTCTCTCTCTCTCTCACACACACACACACACAGATGCACACAGACACGGTTCCGCCTCTGTCATTATCCCCATAAGTATCCCTCAGCACGTGCTTTCCTCCCAACAATACCCTGTTATCTAACAAAAGCCTCAGGACATTGAGCTGTGACTGTTACTGAGGTTGCAGGGCAAATGAAGAGGACAGTGAGAGGATCCTTGAAGCTACCCTGGGAGCCTTCTGTCACCTAAGGGACCTGCCACGTGACCCTGTGTCCCCTGTTATTCTCACGCCAAACACTTACGGCACTTCTGGTTGCTGAAAACGTGGGTTCTCATCACTGGTTATCCTTGACTGGCTGCCCTTGGAAGCCCTTAACTTCTCTTGGCCTTACTTTGCATGTCTGTAAAATGAACACTGCACTTCTGAGTTTCCTGGCAGCACTGATTCTAGGATTCTGAGTCTGTTGCAAGTCCATTGGTCTTCCACATTTTGAAGGAGTCTTCTGTACTGTTGTCCACCTTATTCTTCATCTTCTATAATTTTGTCCTTGACTTCAGGGTCAGGGCAAAATTTGGGAGCAGGGGCATAGATACAGATGAAATGTGACTGCCCTGGTCACTTCTTTCCCCTATGGGATGCCCAGAGATTCCCTTTGGGTCCCCCTGCAGAAGACCTGCATCACCATGTCCCAGAGGCAGGCCCCTACAAAACCTCATCAGGAGCTCTGGCCTCACCTTCACACAGAATGAAAAGCCCCCGTCGCTGCTTATTTTTGCAAATTGCTGTTTTATTTCAGTCTCCCACCCCGAAGGCACAGCCTTAACATCTAAGAGGCTGGGTGGGCAATGGGGATTACAGAGCAGAAACTGTGGAGGGAACAGGGAAGAAGTGAACCGTTTCTCGTGGGTGAGGCTGTCTGTTGAGCCGGCAGTTCTCACTGGGGGGATTCCCGGGGCTGTGGGCCTTGCATGGTATTGGCCTCAGAGAGGAAGGGCAGATGGATTTACAGATGAGCATTGTGTTCGGTCAGGGTTGAAGCGTCCAGCTTACTTATTTGTGCATTTATATGCTTACAGTGACATCAACACTAGTTATTTGTTAAGAATAGCTAACACACACATAGAGCTTATTCTTGGGCCAAATAACGATTGAAGTGTTTTAGTGTGCACTCTTCAAGAACCTGTTACGTGAAATTTATCCATGCCCTCAACAGTCCACTGTGGCAGACACTTAAGTGTCTCCATGTAAAAGATGAAGAAACCGAGGCTCAAGGATCCCAAATAATTGGCCTAAGGTCACAAACTAGCAGGTGGCAGAGCCAGGATCCTAACTGAGGCAGTGGGCACACATATGCTCACATAGGCCCTCCCGGGACACTTGCTGTAATTCTGTTTCTGCAGTCTTCATCCTTCACCTGGTGTCCTGAGTCACTGTTAAATGATGAAAAGGCTCACCCAATATTATAGGTGTTCTTAGTTCTTCTGGGGAACACAGTGCGGGCCAAGTAAATATACTCATGGGACGCTCATGTTCTTCCACTTAGCTGGGGGCATATTGGGTATGCCCTTTGGGTTTACTATCAGGGAGTTTGGGGGTCCAGCCTTACTCCTGGTGACTGGAATTAGGGGGAGCTGGGAGCAGGGCTGGAGCAGGGGTATGGTGACTCCTGAGCATTTCTGTCCTGATGTTGGCACTGAAGAGTTTAAAATCTTTTCCATATAACCATTTAAGTCCTATCAAATTTGTGAAAATCTGGCACTGTAATTAGCTGTCTCTCTCTCCTTTGATATTCTGGAATAGGATTTACATCTTTAGAAATCATGCCTTTTAGCACAATTGTTAAGACTCTGGACATTGTCTATCAATGGTCAGTTCTGCCTTATGAGGGAAATTGAGGGTAATATGAAGCAAATCTTATCTAAGTGCCAGAATTCAGCTCTTTGCAGACTAGAAGACAGAGTAGATAAATCAAGATGCATGGTATGCGCGTTGTGGGCACACCTAGTGTTGGACCCTGGACACACCAGCAGATGACTGGTCAACTCACAGAGGACATCAAGTCCTGCAGGACATAGTGAAAGGGAAACCCCAGGGACAGCAAGAGGGCTGGGCGCATGCCTGGCAGAGGGATGGGCAAGCCTCGGAGATGGCTGGAGGCTGAGTACTTCCTTGTCTGTGTTTGATAGGTGATTGGCCTGCTTTGGAGGATTATTTCCAGCTCCTTTGTCCTGCAGTGTGTAATTAAAGTGAACACTCAGCCTACCTTCCTCTCACCTACCAAGACCTTTTGGAAAAATTAAATAAGAATCCCAAGACAACCACTATTGTCTTTCGAGCTTCAGTTAGCCATGCATATTTGAAGCTCCAGTTGCCATCTCCTTGCAGAAAGAGAGATGGAATTTATGCATTTTCTGCAGGGGAAGCATTTGAGGCAACAAGGTGGAGAGTGGAACCACTGGCCAGATGGCCAACTGGGAGTGTTTCTTTAGACATGCAGACAGGTGCCACTTGCTGCAGAGAAAGTCCCTCTGAGAGTGTGTGATCCCTGAGAGAACTTGTTCCATGCTCAGCACCGTCTTAACCCCTCACATGAATCTGGTCCTCCTATCTGTCCTCTGAGGCAGGTGCAGTTACTGCCTGCAGTTTACAGATGTGGGCTGGGGCCTAAAGAGGGCAAATGACTTGTTTGGGCCATGCCAGGTAGTAACTGACAAGTGGAACCCCGGTAGCTTTAGAGAACCCTGCGAGCATCAGGACTGCCACCAATATAAACCAGTCTCCTCCCTGAAGGGAAGTAAAGTCCTCTTTGCTCCTTCCTTCCTTCTTCCTGAGCTGTCATTTGGATTGGCCACCTTAGCAGAGGCTGCCCTCAGACCTCTTCACAGTGGTGCCACCACATGTCTAGAAGGTTCTGGGAAACTCATCTAGTACATTTTGAGTTGGAATCTGAGCTTGTATCTGGTCCCCTGTTCTCCTTCCCAAAACACAGGAATGTGTTCTGGAGTGAACAGTGGCAATAAAAAATGCAGGGGAGAAAAAAACCCTAGGTTTTCTTTGAGTTTGACAGTCTTTGATAAAGCTTGGAAGAAACGTTGGTAGATAAAAAACTCAGCAAGAACGGAAACCACATTTGTGGAAATAGGGATGAGGGACTATATTGTGGCTGTATTGTCATTTGTTCAGAGGCTGAAACTGCATTTGAGGAGCAGAGCCACTTTACCCAACAGCTGACTTTTGAAGAATTAAAACTGTAAGTTGGAAATGAGAAAAACTTTACAGCAGTAAACATCCCAGGGGAGGTAAGGAACATTGTTAGCAAACACTTGCGAGAAACACTTTAGCTGAGACTTGCTATGAAATGTAGGCTCAGTTCTTTTTAACATGGTAAAAAAGATATAACCTACAATTTACCAATTTAATCATTTTTAAGTGTAGAGTGGCACTCGGTCCGTTCACTGTGTTGTACAACCCGCCATCACCATTATCAGTTCCTGAAGGCTTCTCATTATCCTGAACAGAATCTCTGCCTCCATTAAACTCTATCGCCCTTGCCGCCAGTTCCTTAGTAACCTCTATTCTCTGCCTCTGTAAACTTGATAGGCCCACTTTTCAGTTCTGGTGTTCTGACCTTTGCTATATATGGGCCAAAGGTATAATTAATGTGTTTAGCTCTCGCTCATTTGCTTACATTTTTTACTCATCCGTCTTCAACAAAATGTGGTGTTTCCTTAGGTGATGCCGTGATCATATTCCCACCTCCTCCACCACCTTACTTTCCTGAGTCTTCAGCTTCTGCAGCTACTCGGAGTCCTGGGGCTGACGGTTTGCTGCCAGATGAACGCCCACCTTCATATTATAGTATTTTTCACTCTGGGTAAGACTCTCCCTTTGAACCTGAACTGTAGAAACATTGAACCCCTTCAGGCCTGTGCCTGTCTTCAGGCCAAGTCAGCTTTATGCTATGTCAGAATTATCGTCTTAATATTCACAGCACCTTCCAGGAAACTTTGGGTAGCACATAAATGAAAAATTATAAGAGTGGTTACGCCAGGTTCATGTGAAGCCTTCTCCAGGCATCTGTGTGTGCTTGTAGCAGAACTGGGCCTCAAAATGCTGAACCACCTGTCAGCCAGCCCAAGTGCTGGACCAGAACTCGGGAGGCCCCTGCTAAGTGGGCTGTTGTGGACTGTGGGAGGTGTGGGGGTCCCAGGAGACCCCCAGAATGTACAGAGGTTCCAGTATCTAATGGGGATACTTGAGTGACTGACTGAAATCAGCCTGCACCCTGCCTTGAGCATGCCCGTCTTCTCCCCTCAATTTTAAGTTGTCCCCTGGGCCTCAGAGTCTTCTCAGATTGCTTGAAGAGAAATGTTAGATTCCCATTTACACCCCCCAGGCTTCCCACACATCACAAATTAGGAGGCCTGCCTGGGGTCACATTAAACAGTGTAAACGTGAGTGTTTTTTCTTGAGGCAGAGGGATGCCATTGAAGGTTGAGGAGTTACAGCAATGGAATATGAGCAGTGGTTAGCTCAGCTCTGATTGGGGAAAGGCTGAGGGTGGCCACCAGTTAGGAGGCTGACTCACGGTCATGGGTCAGCTGGAGTAACAGAAGCCTGGGACTGTGGTGATCAGAAAGGGAGGAGCAGGACTTCCTGGTGGTCCAGTGGTTAAGACTCTGTGCTTCCACTGCAGGGGTCGTGGCTTCAATCCCTGGGCAAGGAACTAAGATTCCCATGTGCTGTGTGGTGTGGCCAAATTAAATAAAATGATAAAGCATTTATTTTTTTTTTTTAAAAAAAAGGAAGGGGGAGGAGGAGTATGGGAGGGAATCTGTGGTGAAGGATGATGGGAAAATCAGAGGTCTTGACGTCAAGGGTGAGAGACAGGGACAGGGAAGGTCCCTGACTGAGGAGGATGGGAATGGGCTCGTATAATCAGGAGAAGAGAATGGCTGGCTTGTGGTGGAAGGAGAGCAAGGTGTGGGCCTTGGAGGGAGACTGGACGGGCCAGAGCTTGGAGGGAACTGAGGTCCTGGAGATGGAATGGCAAAGAGGCAGCTGAAACCAAGAGGGCAGAGGCGTCAGAGACCTGTGGCGAATCCTCGGGCAGGGAAGGTGCGAACGGAAGGAGTTCTGGGAGACGCCAGATGAGCAGGGCTGGGGCAGGCACTGTACCTCCCCAGATGGGAACCCAGGGTATAGGAAGTGAAGGCAGGATCGCTGGAAAATCTCCCAGGACAGAGCTGCACTCAGTGAAAACTGACTTTCGAGACACGCAGTTTTTAAAGGCAGTGAGAAGCAGGACCCAAGAGATGGCTAGGGACCTGAGCATGCTAGGGATGAGTGCTGCCTTACCTGGTCATTCGTGTTTTAGGGTACACAGTCTAGTGCTCCAAACTGGGTGGTGAGCTGGAGATCCAACCAGGGACGAATGCAGGAGTTGCCCTGTGTGGATGAAAGGGAGGTTAGGTTCTGGAATTTGGAGAATTCTGTTTGTGAATTTTTGTATTCTTTTCTCCAGTAATGAATTTCGCAGAGATAAATAGATAGCTGTCTATTACTTCTACTAAAAACGACTCCCCCTGCTGCCATTATGCCAGAGTCTGGCTTTTCTTCCATTACCTTATATCATTCTCATAGTTACTTAGAAGGTACACACTGTCATCACCCCCATTTTACAGATGAGAAAGCTGGGCTTAGAGATCAAAAGCTCAAAAGCAGCAGGGTGGAAGTTCCGATGCAGGTCTGCCCTTTGCTGGAGCCCACTCCATTAACCAGTATGCCTTCCCACCTCCCTTCAAGCTTTTGGCTTAATGATTTAATTTTTTATTTGCACAAGTTTGTCTCCCTTATGTTAGCTGTCTCCAGATGAAATAGCAGAGAGGAGTAGCTGTGTGTGTATGTGCGTGTACCTTTTTGGAAGGCATCTATATGTTTGTACTCTTTGTCTTTTCAATGACAAGCGGAGTGAAACTGTCTTAATATTACAATCAGCTCTAAGGACAGTAAGGGGTAAGAAGTTAAAACATATCTATGCAAAATATATATGGGAAAAAGTTACTCTGGAAGCCCTTGCAAATGCTTCCAAATGCATCTAATTAAACATGTGAACAGAACCTGGTATTTAAGCGTGATGACTGATTCCCTGTTCTCCCGTTCATGTTCCCTGCTCTTCTTCTTCATAGGTCCCCAACTCCTGAGGGCCAAGGCGCGGCCTCTGAGAGAGATTGTGAATCGATATATACGATTTCTGGGACCGCTTCATCCTCTGAGACCTCCCACACTCTCCACCTCTTGTCCGAACTGCCTCCCAGATACGAAGAAAAAGAAACTGCTGCTACCACATCCTTGCCTCCATCTTCTGAGCCTTCCCCACCATGAACCATGGACTCGTGTTCAATTTTATATAGAATCAATCACTATTTTATTTAATTTGTTTTCTAATAAAAAATACAGTAGCATCAGCTGTGTCCTGACTTCTTGGTGTAGCATCAAAATCAAGAACAGACCTTCCAGATTAAGCCGTCAGTGCTTTAGACCACGGGAGAGGCAGGGTGCTTCCAGATGGGAACTTAAGCAGGTTCTCTCACTGAGACCTACTTTTCTGGGAGATTGGTGGGATCATTTGTACTGGTGCGTGAAGAGACAAAGGCTCAGAGAGGCTGATGAACTTATTCAAGGTCACATTGCTTCTCAACGGTGAGGTTAGATGTTGGACCCACCTAGCTGGTTTCTGAAAGCCAGGTGGATCTCTCTCCCCTGTGTTGCCAAAGGCCAACCAAAAGCAGTGGTTAATGTTTAGCTTGGCCCATTGGGTTTCCAATGTTAATTGCTTCTGGGGCAGGGAAACCAGATTACTCTCCTCATTTATTATTTCTTCCTCTTCTTCCCTCTCCTCTTTCTCCCTCCTCTTCCTATTCCTTTTTTCTTTTTTTTTCATTTTGAAAGAAGGTAGTTAGGGTAACTAGGTAATCTACACTTGGGGCAGTTACCAACACACTGATGCCTGAAAGCCTTCTTACAATGATGTGACATTTTGGAGAAGAAATTTCTTGGGACATTTTGGTAACTAGATTCCCCCATAGAGGTTCAGGAAGGATGTGTCTTTCTGTATTATAAGGTGCCCAACTGTCTGCACCACCAGCTTTTATTCTTGTAAGCCTATTGCTGAACAAAAACACTTGTATAGTTGGGTACTATAATATTTATTCTAGATATAAACCTTAAACAATAATCACTATTCTCGATTTTACCTGGGAAAAACTTATTTTTAGAATCGAAAATTTGTAGGAACTTAGCATTTTTGTTAACAAAATTTGATGTAGCAACAATGTAACTTTTTATGCCTTTTACCACAAGCCCTTTTTACCATAATCCCCATAAAAATCAATATTATCCAATATTTAAGTGCCTGAAAGCAGAATTTAAGGCGTTAATGCTTCAATAGTTTAACTGAAGTAACGACTGATTTCATGGGAATTGCCACTGCAATAAATCAGGAGTAACAGTCTGTACCAGCAGGACCAACCTATTTCTAAACTGAACATTTATTGTATTGAACTGCTCTTAAAATTCTGTTTTTCCCCCTGGAAGGTTAATTATTCACATTCTAAAATTAGGACAAAGGGTAGATTATCACCACTTGCTTCTGTTACTTATTTAAAATGATTAAGCCAAAACTTCTAGGTAGAATTAAGTTTTAAACACTTACAAGTTCTCATATATAATCAAGAGCCTTTTTAATGGCTCAAAGTTAGGGTTTGTAACTGAGCGTTTTACTTTTATATGCTAGTAAACTTAAATGGCAGTTAGAAATGCTTAGGTATAAGTTTGACCTTCTGGTGGGAGAGGTCTGTTTTACCTCCATCCATCTCCTCAGTATTCAGCCAAGTGAGAGCTGATGAAGCCATAGCATTGCAAGGGGACCCTAAGCAAGAGATGTCCATTGCAGGACTGAGGCTTGGGCAGTCAAGCTGGGACGAATCCTTTAGTCATAGGAAGATTCATCCTTCACCTATTAAGTTTCTAAAAAAGTATGATAGCTCTGAAAACCCATCTGGTGGGCTGTTACTGATTTTGTCTTTTTATCAGTTAACTTTTTTTTTTTTTGGATGTGAAATCAGTCATATAAGATCAACCGTTTTAAAGGGAAAAATTCAATGGTGTTTAGTACATTCACAATGTTGTATAGTCACCATCTCTAATTCCAAAATATTTTCATCCCCAAATAAAAGCCCATACCCAGTAAGTAGGCTCTCCCCACTATTTCCTTCCCAACCCCTGGCAACTACCAACCTCTTCTCTCTCTCTAGATTTACCTTTTCTGGGTATTTCATATAAGTTATATCATACAACATCTGAACTTTTGTGTCTGTCTTCTTTCATTTAGCATGCTGTTTTAGAGCTTCATCCACATTGTAACATGTATCAATACTTCATTCCTTTTTGGAGCTGAATAATATTCCTTTGTGTGTATATACCACAGTTTATTCATGATGGACATTTGGGTTGTGTCTGCCTTCTGGAAGTTGTGAATAGTGTAGCTATTAATATTTGTATCCAAGTATTTTTTGGAGTATCTATTTTCAGTTCTTTTGGGTATATACATAGATATGGAATTGCTGGGTCATACATGACCTTTGAGTTTTTGAGGAACTGAATACTGTTTTCCACAGAGGCTGCCCCTTTTTATATCCCAACTAACCATGTACAAAAGTTCCATTCTTCCCCACCCTCAGCACCACTTACTTATTTTTGTTAATATTATTATCATGATTATTATTGTCATCTTTGTGTGAAGTGGTATTTCATTATGGTTTTGGCTTCACTGATGAAGTCATTCCCTCTTGACAAATAATGTTGAGCATCTTTTCATGTATTGTTTTGAACACTAAACATTATCATCAGGAGCATAAGAAATCCTACTCCAGATTTTCCTCCTGTGGTATTGGGAGGCATGATGCTCTGCTTTACAGAAAATAGTGATGAGGTCTACATCAGGGGGACCACCCACACCAGGCATTGCCCTGCTCCCCCTACACTAGGAAAAGTCCCTCTTGTGACATCTTTGTCCTCCCCCAGGGATGAGTTAAGTGGACCCAATCAAGAAATTCTACTGAAATTGAAGCATTCTTTGACAAGGTCAGGTTCCTTTAGTATTTCTACAAGCTATGGAGGAGTGGGGCAAGACAATAAAGCAGATTTCAGAGGATGAAAGCTGAAGGGGAGGTGAGTATGTGCTCATCCAAGTTCCATCTGAGAGGCTGGAGTGGAGTGCACGGGCAGTTAAAAGTTAAGGTGGCCTCTTCAATGTGATCCCTATCAAAGTACCCATGACATTTTTTATAGAACTAGAACCAATAATTCTAAAGTTCATATGGAACCATGAAAGACCCAGAATTGCCAAAGCAATCTTGAGTAAAAGGAACAAAGCAGGAGGCATAAGCTACCGCTTCAGACAATGCTACAAAGCTACAGCAACCAAAGAGAGCATGGTATTGGCACAAAGAAAGATGTATGGATCAACAGAATAGAACAGAGAGCTGAGAAATAAATCCACATGCCTACGGTCAACTAACTTGCTACAAAGGAGGCAAGATTATACAGTGGGAAAAAGATAAGTCACTTCAGCAAGTGCTGTTGGGAAGTTTGACAGCTGACTATAAATCAATGAAATTAGAATATATATTCATACCACACACAAAAATAAACTTAAAATGGCTTAAAGACTTAAACATAAGACATGACATCATAAAACTCCTAGAAGAGAATATAGGCAAAACACTGACATAAATCTTACCAATGTTTTCTTAGGCTAGTCTCCCAAGGAAACAGAAATAAAAACAAAAATTAAAAAATAGGACCTAATGAAACTTACAAATTTTTGCACAGCAAGGGAAACCATAAATAAATGAAAAGACAATCTATAGAATTGGATAAAATATTGTAAATGATACGATCAAGGGCTATAATTTCCAGAATATGCAATCACCTTATAAACTCAACAACAAAAAACAACCCAATCCAAAAACGAGCAGAAGACCTAAAATAGACATTTCTCCAAAGAAGAAATACAGATGGCTAATAGGCACATGAAAAGATGCTCAACATTACTAATTATTAGAGAAATGTGAATCATAACTACAGTGAGGTACCACCTCACACCAGTCAGAATGGCCATCATTAAAAAGTCTACAAATAACAAGTGCTGGAGAGGGTGCGGAGAAAAGGGAACACTCCTACACTGTTGGTGGGAATGTAAGTTAGGGCAGCTGCTGTGGAAAACAGTATGGAGGTTCCTCAGAAAACTGAAAATAGAATCACCATATAATCCAGAAATCCCAGTCCTGGGCATATATCCAGACAAAACTGTAATTCAAAAAATACACGCACCCCTTTGTTCATAACATGTTGTTGTTGTCGTTCAGTCGCTCAGTCGTGTCTGACTCTTTGTGACCCCACAGACTGCAGCACGCCAGACCTCCCTGTCCATCACCAACTCCTGGAGCTTGCTTAAACTCATGTCCATTGAGTCAATGATACCATCCAACCATCTCATCCTCTGTCGTCCCCTTCTCCTCCTGCCTTCAATCTTTCCCAGCCTCAGGGTCTTTTTTTAATGAGTCAGCTCTTCACATCAGGTGGCCAATGTACTGGAGTTTCAGCTTCAGCATCAGTCCTTCCAATGAACACTCAGGACTGATCTCCTTTAGGATGGACTGGTTGGATCTTCTTGTAGTTCAAGGGACTCTCAAGAGTCTTCTCCAACACCACAGTTCAAAAGCATCAATTCTTTGGTGCTCAGCTTTCTTTATGGTCCAACTCTCACATCCATACATGATTACTGGAAAAACCACAGCTTTGACTAGATGGACCTTTGTTGGCAAAGTAAAGTCTCTGCTTTCTAATACACTATCTAGGTTTGTCATAGCTTTTCTTCCAAGGAGCAAGCATCTTTTAATTTCATGGCTGCAGTCACCATCTGCAGTGATTTTGGAGCCCAAGAAAATAAATTCTGTCACTGTTTCCATTTTTTCCCAATCTGTTTTCCATGAAGTGATGGGACTGGATACCATGATCTTTGTTTTTGAATGTTGAGTTTTAAGCCAGCTTTTTCACTCTTCTTTTTCACCTTCATTAAGAGGCTCTTTAGTTCCTCTTTTCTTTCTGCCATGAGGGTGGTGTCATCTGCATATCTGAGGTTATTGATATTTCACCTGGCAATCTTGATTCCAGCTTGTGCTCCATCCAGCCCAGCATTTTGCATGATGCATATAAGGTAAATAAGCATATAAGCATTTTGCATATAAGGTAAATAAGCAGGGTGACAATATATAGCCTTGACATACTCCTTTCCCAATTTGGAACCAGTCTGTTGTTCC